AAAAAAAAAAAAAAAAAAAAAAAAGAAAATTAAGCTTTGCATGGAGTACTATTCTTAGAATACAAAAAGAAGAACTCAAGACTAAATACTCTTCCAACTTACAGTGAAAACCCACTTATTCCTTTTATGAAGCTTACGTAACAGTAAAATCTTAAGCCTCATTATGACATTATATAGAATGAAGACAGACACACTAGTCCTCCAGGAAGTAAGGAGGTGAGTCAGTAAGAAACTAAAATTGTAGAACAGGATTGGTTTAGGTGAGAATTTATATTCAATTGTAAACCCTTTTAACAAAGGTGTTACTTTAGAGCATTTACCATTGTCTTTCTATTGCTATCTGTGATTGTAATTTTTAAGCTACCCAAATGTCAGGTTTACACTCAATTTTTTTCCTAGTAAAATGGATGTGCCATTTTTAAAGCTGATAAAATGGTCTATAGCACACCAAGAGAAAAATCTCTTCCTTTCAGGAATCTTTCTCAAGTCGATTATATTCAGTCTCTGCAGAGTTCTTCATTCAGTTATACACCAGTGTACAGATACAAGTTGTACACACATCACGTTTTTAAGGACAGACCCCTCTTCCACTTGAAATGCTAGGATGAAGGGCTTAGAGCTGTAAATAGAACTCAGTGTTACAAATGCTTTGGTATACAAGCCTTCACCACTTACAAAAATAATAGCACTTTTCTTCTAATTGGAAATGCATTAAAAGTACCAGGAAGAACAGTTTTTCCTTAAGAAGGATATTCTCTTTTTTTTTCTCAGAAAGGGGTCTAAGAGTTAGTAGTGAAATGTAGTCCTTTATCATGGAGCAATTTTTGAAAGATCAACAAAAGCAAAGAGAAATTCCTTTTGCTGGCTGAGGTAAAATCTATTGCCAAATTTAAAGCCGAATGGAGAGAAACTGAAAAAGTTAATTAACTGATTAACTGAAGGCCTTGATTTGGTGTATGGCAGGATCCTCCTGGTGTTATAAAAAGCTCTGAATAGCATGCAGTCTTGTGGAAGAAGTCTACTCACAGGTCTGAGAAACTGCAGACAGTCCGTATTTTTTTTTTTTTTTTTTTACATTCATCTCTGAGGTGTAATTAAAGCAACATTCCTCCTCTCCCCCACAAATATCAGTGCAAATGTTTTAACAGGGTCTGCAGCTATCCGAAAGTAGTTTGACTAGTCAGTGGATTAGGAAGGGTGGCCAAAAGAAAACTGAGTGCATCATTGCACTATCTGTGCAAATAAGACTTCTGTGAAAAAAACAGTAGTTTTCAACACTAAACATTCAAGCAATGCCAAACAATTCCATCATGTAAAGAGTTAATCTAACAGCAATTCAGATGATGCTATTCCCCTCTGACCTCTATCTGAAGACTGATATCTCCTAAACAAGAAATATTTCAAAGATAACTTAAAATAAAAATAAAAAAAAAATAATAAAAAAAAAAAAAATTAGAGCAAGACCAATTCTACTCAAAGCAAGACCACATTTTATCAAACTGCTTTTCTAATATTTAAAGTTTTATTTGCTGCAGGTCTGCTTTTTATTGAAAGAAAATGACTTGGAGCAATGGCATTTCAGAGCACACCAGGAACCCCACGGAAGACATTGAATAGCAGTAAGTAGCTTTCCTGTTGGAGTCCTGCCATTCTAGTTGAACAAAGTTCCATGGAAACAAATCAAACATCCAAATTCTTCCTGTCACCTTCTTTCATATCCATCTCATAAGTAGTATTCCCTCCAGCGGCTCAGCAATGCCGAAGGTATTTTAACTGTACCTTCAAGAGATACAGGTTACTTTTACACAGAGCAGAAAGAATGTAATTTTTCCTAGTTACATTTTAGCATTTAAGGTGCTACAGTTTCAAAAGCAACTTGAAAGGCACTTTCACATTTGGATTGGGGAGTTTTATCTCTTCATTGAAGAGATTTTTTCTTCTGTTTTTTTCTGTATCAGCATGTCAACACCTTTGCTAGAAAAGTAGGACTTTTTCTAGAGCCATAGAAGATCATGTACTTTGAAGGATTAACAGGATTTTAAACAGATTTTTAATAGGTCATTTCGCACTCCAGACAAAATAGTCCTTCACAATTGACAATACCTAGCATAAAACTGCAAACCAATCAAGGCCTGCCCCTCCTTCCCTCTCAAAATATATAAATACACAAAAAAAAATCATGAGGAAAATTTCACTTTTTCCCCTCTCCATATCATCTCTATGGGAGGAGGAAGAGGTATTAAACATATTCTGATACCTAGTGCTAATTAAATTGAGCTGTGACAGCATCTCTGAGAAGCCTTATTTCAGTAGGATGTAGATCATTTCTTTTTATATTTGTTCCCATACTTTTTTCCTCACAGGTTATCTGCTCTCCTCCTTAGCTACGCTTCGAACTGGTAAAGAAAAATATTTCTGGTGCCTTTTTTCCTTTTTTTAATATAGTGATGAGTGATTTAAATAGGCTTTCTCCCAACCAAAATTAAACATCCATAATATACTGCTGCCTGTTTAACAGTTTCTTACCATTATAAGGGTTTTAATATGCTGCATGCCTAAAAAGCATCTTAACCCCCCCAATCCTGTTAAATATTTATTACACAGAAATGGTCCTGTTCCAAATTTTGTTTTTACCATGTTTCTCCCTATTAAATAAAATACTGACTTGGATGGAAAGGTGAATGCTATGCACAGTTCTATGCAGAACTTGTGTCTTGTAAATTAAAAGTTTACATCAGTATTTTTTACAGAGGAAATTCCATCCAAGCAAAACTGAAGGGACAAATTTACAGCAGGCCTTTACACAAAATGCACAGCTACTATACAAAGACACTTCTAATGCCTGTTGTTCATAAAAATCACCTTTAAGAGGTGGAAAGAATTGTGTTGATACTATGCATTTCATTCTCCCAGAATACAATGCACATACTTCACAGTAAGGCCCAAGACCTTGCAGACAGACATCACCAGATGTGGTGGTTCTGTGCAGTTTTAAACTGGAACCACCACATCATCTTTATAACTATAAAGTATTCTAATATAAAGCAGCTGGACATGCTACAGATGCCCCTTTGTTCCAGGTGGTAGAAACACAACATAATCCTTTATATGAATCAAAACCTAAAAATAGACAGCTCTGGGGAGTATGCAGTATTGTACATACATTACATGCAACCATACAGTCTATAAGCAATTTTTCTTAGATCCATTACTTTGGGTAGCAGTATAACTACTCACAAATGCTGCTGCTTAGCACAAGTATCAAGCAATGCTGATTTACAAAGGGCAGAAGCTTTCTGAATGTCACTATCTGCTCTGTGGCAATAGCATTTTGGTATTCAGAAACACAGCAGCAAAGATATCTGAAGTGGTACGGATAGCAAAGGCATGGCTAGGCATCTGTTCAAAACATTATGTGACTACAGTAAGAGCTGTTATCCAGTCTAGGCTATCATAAGGATATTACTAAACAAACAAACAAACCAACCTACTTGTAACTACCTCACTGTAATTATAATAGTTATCTTGCTTTGTAACTTACCTGAAGTCTGCAGTTGCCGCAAAGGATTCCAGCTCTGTAATAGAGAAGACACAAAGAAAGCCTTCTCCACTTCGGAAGTAGTTGTCTCTAATTGCAGCATAGTCCTCCTGCCCTGCTGTGTCCAATATATCAATTTGGACTTCTTCCCCATCCAGAACCACCTTTTTCCTATAGCTGTCTGCTTTGGTGGGCTCATAATCTTCAACAAACTAGAAAAAAAAACCCTTCATGATATAAAATCATGGTACAAGGCAAATGATTCTAGTTGCATATAAGGATATAACAAACACTTTACATGGCTACAGTAAGTAAGCATATGTGTTTAGGCTATGTGAAATACTCAAATGATTCATAGTTAAAGCAGCCTCTCTGTCAGCCCGAAGTTTATATGTTTTCGCTTTCTTCAGCCATTAGAAGGAATTTTTAGAGGTAACTGCAAAACATCAATGTCTGCGCGCTACCCAAGCCTCCTCTTGTTGTCAAGCACAACATCTGGCTCTGTTCCATTATGCTATCAGGCAGTCCTGACTTTGAATATATTTAGTATCCATTTTTAAAAGACACTAAAAAAGGCTATAACTTCTGCCTTTTAATCAAAAAGAATGATTTTCACTGGAGAAAAAAAGGAAACAAGAAACAGATTTTCTTTCCTCTCTTCAACAGCAGTATAAAAACATGGGAAAAAAATGGTCATCATTTCAAGCATCATGCGATTCACCTGAGTGGAGAAGCTTTGAGCTGTAATACCTAAATAAGTTCAAATAGGTCTAGTGAACAATGACAAAATATACTGATATGGCAGAGCATTTAATTGCTTCAAGGTCTGAAAAATGCTAAATTATACCTTCACAGGTATCTCTAGAGGGCAAATCACTTAATCTCAAAAGATATTTTTGTTCAATTTAACTGCCAACTTTCATACCACACCATATACTTTAGATCCTTTCAGAAAATACCTGTATGAAGGAATGCTTAAATAACACTATGTAGTGAGACAATTTCTAATGCAGATTCTTACCTCATCATACATAAACTGTAGTGTTAAAGCAGATTTTCCTACACCACCGCTTCCCACCATGATCACTTTGTGTAAAGCCAATGAATTCTGTCCTTTAGGCTTATTCGCTGCCATCTTTGGATTGCAGAAAATTCACAGGTACAAAATGAAAAAAAATCTAGAAGAAAAACATTGCTTCATTAGTTTTCTTTTCCTTCTCCCACATGCACTGTTTAAAGTGGATTTGTTTTAAATCCCTACATATCTAAGGACTTGGCTTTCACTGAAGACAGCAGAACTGAAATTATCTGCTTTTTCACTGGAAGCCATTCCACAAATTATACCAAGCTCTGTTTTGCAGCATGAGCAAAGAAAGCCTTTACCATTTGGAAAGGGCACAAGTAGATTCACAGCATCCAACAGCAATTAAGGGAAAAGATTTACATTTTGGTATGCAGTGTATTTGTCAGGAATTCTTGTTAGTGTACTAAGCAAGAACTGAAAAAGGAAGCCACAGTGAGTCAACATCATACAAGAAAACATGAGATACGACAGCTGCAGAGGAAAGAAAACAGACATTTGAAGGAATTTCCAGCTTAAATAGCAAGCACCGAGACATAGCAGCAAGGATTAGCTAGTGTACTTTTTTCAGAGAAAAGCAAGCAAATGTGTCACTTAAAACCTAAAAATACCCAGTTTCAGCAAGTCAATCAGGAACGGAAAGAATAATCTAGTTTATGCAGAGTTAAAGATTCAACTTGCCTTCTTAGGGTACAAATGGAGTTTTTACATTTATTTGGGATTGTTGTCTCAGTCCCACAACCGCTTGTTCAAACACAAATCTCGATCTCACCAACACCGAAGGGCTGTATGACAGTTAGTTCACATACAGGCGAACGTGTGCACACATACAAAAAGTAACAATTCATTAGCATTAAAGAAAAAAATCACATCAGAGTTTTAGCAGATCAGCTCCTATCTTCCCACACCTTTGCTTCAGTCCCTGCTTACTCCAACAGTAATATAAGTGTATTTGTGTTATATGAAGACAGAATATTTTGTTTGCTTGCACAGATCTTAAGACATGGGAAAGTCCCTGTGCAGTGACAGAATGTATCCTCCTCCAGAGATTTACAGTCAAAACAAGCTCTGATGTCCAAAAACCACAATGACATCTACATTACAGAAGATGTAAATTCAACAGACATCTATAGCAGCAACCAAGAACCAAATGTAACAGATTTTCTTAATTAGCTCAAAATGAGCACATTCACATGGCAGTAGTTTAGTCGTATACAGAACAATCAGATAATAGTACCATGTAGTAACAAGACACCATTACCTCATTTACCTTTACCTCATGATCATTTGACAATCTCACACTAAAACTACATCCTTCTGCATAACAAATCACTCTTCTGTGCTGCTTAAATAATCAGAATGTGAGGCATGACAATTTTCTTAAAACTTGTATCAAAATCCCTAGTCATGTGCACTAAGGTTGTTAGCAGTGAAGCAATTAAGTGTAACAGCATGCTGAGTGAAGCTTCATTAGAGATCAAGCCAATCCTTCCTGGAATTAGGAAACAGATAAAAAGGTGTATCAGTTTTGGCTGAGGTAGAGAAAATTTTCTTCAGAATAGTTCACATAGTGCCATGTTTGGGATTTGTGATGAAAACAGTGACAACACACAGGTGTCCTAGCCATTACTGAGCAGTCTCAAGGCCTTTTCTGGTTCTCACACTGCCCTGGGCAAGCGGTTGGGAGGGACACAGGTGGGACAGCTGACCAAAGGGATATCCCATGCCATAACTGAGCAGTAAAAGCTGGCAGGGAAGTTTGCCCAGGCTGCTCCATTGCTCAGAAACTGGATGGACATTGGTCAGCTCATGGTGAGCAATCTTTTTTTTTTTTTTTTTTTACTTCCCCATCACTTGTTTTACTTGGTTTGTTTCTTTTTTTTAAAAAGCATGTTAAATTTTCATTATCTCAACCCACAAGTTTTCTTACTTTTACTCTTCTAATCCTCTTCCCCGTCCCACTGGGGAGTGGGGGGGAAGTGAGCAAGCAGCTGTGTGGTGCTTAGCTGTCTACCAAGGTTAACTCAACAACCTATGTGAAACACTCTCTGGATCACATCAGTACCACTACCCATTCTGCTGTCAAAGAATTCTGAAAATGCAATTGAAAATTAAGTTGCTTAAATTGTTTTCCCCGGAAAGATTATCTAAGTGAAATCAGCATGACTAAGCTGCTGTACTAATTATAGAGATACATCAGAAAAATATAACATTATGCTACAAGTTCTTTTAAAAAGAAGATGGATGAGAACAGAAAAACATTTCTGTTTTGACCATCATAGCCAAAATATTTCTGTTTTGACCATCATAGCTTAAAAAGAACCATTGCTCTCTTTTTACTCAAGAGGGAGTACAAGAACATGAAAATAACTCCAAGCCATGTGTACATTTTCAACATACTACATTGCATTTTGAACTACTCCACCTTATTTTGTCTTCACACTTTTCTCTTAAAAGGAAAAATATATCCTCAAAGTCATGTTTACTTGTTTTTAGTATATATTCCAGACAAGTATTATAAAGAAAATTCCTCTGAATTACAGACATCAACTGGCAACAGCTGAGTCTTCCAAGTTTAGATTACAATACATACTCTCAGAAGCATAAGTATACCTGGATACGGCCTATACTATCCTTATTAAGCAACAAAGCAGATTATTCTTGTACAAGCGCTTCAGTACTGAACAAGTCCAAACAAATTCAGCAGTACTTCTCACAGCAAGCCTGTGCAAAGCCATTATTAAAATATGAAAAAATTCAAATACACAATAGCAATGTTTCTCTGTAATATTCATTGTAAATTAACCTACAGATTTTAAGGAGATTGAGCAATGTGAAAATTGATATTTTACTAGAAGTTGCAATTCAACAAGTGGTGTCCCAGTGTGACAAAGAGAAGCTGCCACTTTTTGTAGTTTTTGCAACAGTTGATACATACTTGAAAGGCCAAAAAAGAATGTCCAACCAATAAGATCGTTATAAATAATCAAGTCAGTGACAATACTGCTTTTCACTGAAAATTCTTTAAACAGAAAAATTTTCATGGCAGCAATCATTTTCAGAACCCTTGATAACATCGTTTCAAAGAAGCACAAGACTCAAAAAGAAACTCAGAATTAAAAAAACCTGACCCAACCAGTCAAACAGTAGCCTGAGTCATCGTGTCATCAATAACTGTCAGTGACCAACATTCCAGTAAGATACTGAAGACAGCAAAACTTCACACTAACACACATCAAACCTTAATAAGTTTGTCATAAATATTCCTTCACATTTTGTAGTGGGAGGAGGCTCAGGGAGGTCAAAGTTTGCGTTCAAGTTCTTCAGAATCCAATAAAAATATAATGCTGTCAAAATTTAGGCCTGTTGAATGGCAGACAATGTGAAAAGAGAAGTTACAAAACAAGCAGTCTGATACTGTGCAAACGACACAATCCAGATACTGTTGCAGAGCAAGTATTCTGCCAGAGAGAAAGATGTTGAAAGTGTTAAGTTTTAAGCTACTGCCACATAATTATACCTGCTTCAGTCTGCTTTCAAAAGCACAGAGGAACACAGATACCAATCTTAACAGTAAAGCACCTGAGATGAAGTTTCACACAAAGTAAGTTTTTCTACCCTTAATTTATGTAGCCTGACTTCTTTTCATAAGTAGTATTAATTTGGGTCATATCTAGTTTCTGAATTGTCCTACTTTATAATGATGAGAAAACTGACGAACTGTGGCAAGAACCTTGTTGTATGAAGCTTGTCATATTACATGTACTGCGATTATGTTTGAGTTTGGGGTTGGTTTCTTTTGGCTGTTGGTTTGTTTTTTTGTTGGGTTTTTTTTTGGTTTGGTGTTTTTTTTTTTTTTTTCTCCTGTTTTTTTGTTTTTTCCCAATCTTCACAGTGCAAAATTATTTGGGGGGGCCAGAAGATAAACAAAGGCTCATCCTGCAGTAGAATCCTCTGTTACCCTACAGCAGAGAGAGAGGTTCACACAGAGCCAAGCAAGGTGTTGTCAACAGCTGTATTATTCATTTGTACGGGTCAGCTTTTTACCACACCCTTTGGTAATCCCCATCACAGCAGTACAGCTGATGTTATATATGAAATATTATTTTTAAACTGTTCTTTGCGTAATCCAAAATGTTGGAAGGAAAGTGAAAGCTTAATTGGCTCAACAATGCACTGTCATGCCTTCACTCAGAAGGGCAAGAGCATTGTCCAACCACCATGCTATGGATCAGTCCTCACCTCTGCTGCAGATAAACTCCTAGGAAACTGCCCTTTCTCAACATGCTTGAGCAGATAAGGGCACAAAACCAACTGAATCTCAGCGGCTGCGCAGCCAAAGTAAGCAGATCTCAAAGCTCCTACAGCTGCTTACTGCCTGCTTGCAGATAACCACTCCCATGATTCTGTGCAGGCTTCCAGCTGCAGCCAGGATCATCTTTGTAATGACAGGTTAGGGAGCAATTTGATCAAATAACAACTGCAGGAGTAGGAATTATAATTCATGTTAGCATCAGCAATGGCATCTTGTCCAACAGTCTAGAAATCTGGTCAAGAAAAAGAAGAGTAGGTGGGTAAATAGATCATCCTAGGTGATTAAGATCATGTAGCAACAGGAACTTGTAGCTGGATTTGTAATAGCGTTGCCTGTCTTGAGCAACTGGCTTCTACCTGTATCAATACTAACTTCTCCAGAGTTTCACACCTTACACAGAACGTCCTCTGTGCAAGAAATACAATGTTATCTCTAGTCCCCCATGGATTTTAAACACAACATTCAGCTCCACCCACCAGAGGAGTGATCTGGAAAGTGTTCATGTAACAGGACTTGGACACAGTAACCATCACGTCAACTTCTGCATAAAATCTTGGAGCACAGAGTGATTATCCAGATTCACAAGAGTAAGAAATATGATCAGGTGCCAGCACAAAAATTGGTTTTCCTCTCCAGGGACAGTATTTTCAAGGAAGATACCTTTGCAAATACATGGTAGGGAGGAAGGAGAAAAAAAAAAAAAAAAAAAAAAAAAGCAGGAATCCCTGATCTCTCTACATTAGTCTTTATTTTATCCTCCCATCAACTTCTTCAGCCCAATA